TGAAGGGCCGGCCCTTCCCTTAGGCAGTCTGTAGCAGAATTCTCTGGCAGCAGATTCTGGGGGTCACGAAAGTGGAAGAGCTCGAAAAGGCAATCATTTCCCCCTCCAAACGTTGCAAAAGGTGCTCCCAGACTCCTGGGTGGCTCATGGGGGCAAGGAGATCTCCCCCAAAATTGGGGAGGAGGCGGAGGGTTTTTCCCACCCTTGCCTCTGTACGCTCTAAAGAAGGGATGGGAAATAGGTGGCCTTTCAGGTATGGTTGTGCAGCTAGTTACTTTTTGGGATAATGAGGGTGCAACTCCTTTCCAAAGTAAGAATGAGCAGGATCTAAGTTACTCTGCTGATATAACAAGAACAATTTTTTCCCATTCTTTTCAAAAGTTATTTTGGACAAGTGTATCAGGAACAAATTTCCACCCAACAGTAACTTTCCTAGCACTGGTCTGGGTGCTTCGCCAGTTAGAGACAGCTTCATCCCAGTTCACATAAACCGGCCAAGCAGGGCCGGCCCTTTCCTTAGGCAGTCTGTAGCAGATTTCTCTGGAAGCAGATTCTGGGGGTCACGAAAGTGGAAGAAATTGCTTGTTACTTTATTAAGACTATTTCAATTTCGTTTTGTTTTCGCCACCAGAAAGCAAGAGAAGAATGCGTCAAATTTTCTGTCTCATGTGCCTAGATGTCTTGGCTGGATGAGAGAAGGGTGAAACTCTGCGCCACCCAATGACTGGACTTCATTTATTGGGGTAGAAACCCAGTGTGCATCCAGTAAACACCCAGAGCCTGGATTTTGATGTTCAGGGGGACTCTCTCTGTGTGTTCAGCATGTGTGTTTAATAATCACAACTCCTGTCTGCCTTCACAGACATTGCCAATGATTTAACACACAGTTTTTTTTCCCAGCCAGCATAACCTAGGGACAAAATTTATGATAGGAACATAATCCTTTGGAGTTTTCGGAACCCACTGCCAGTTTGAAAAACTTGATAGGAGTTTGAGAACATTCATACTTCCTTGCTTCCCTTCCCTTTTTAGTAACATGACTAATTTCTAGAGTTGTTTTATGCCTCTTTCATACTGCTGTTTTGAGTTATTCAATTGGCATATTGTATTTGGCTTTTCTTATGCTATTTCTATTTTAGTGTTCTTAATCTGGAAGCTGTCCACAGGGCCATCCTACCTGGGGGAATTTTGGGAGTTGTTGTCCCCCCAAAATTAATTTTCTGAAGCTGTGGTTCATGCTGTTCTGTTATACCAAACCCAACATCACCACCACCCCAGATGGAACAGGGCCTCCCATGGCCTTAGCTGGAAATACTGGACTTCTGCTTTTTAGGGTGGCAACCTGGGCTGAAAAAGTACCCCTAGAGCCCCCGAAACCGATTCATCCATGGAAATTCAGGTCTGGGAATCTGAAAACATTTACCAAACATATTTATTTGCAAGTCAACATCCAACTCCCTCTGTTACATCTGGCTAGGCTTTACCCGCTCCTCCTTTTCTGCCGCCACCAAATGTGGGCACATCGGAGGTCAGGGAAAAGTGAAACCATGAAAGGATTCAGTGTGATAGATTCCCATTTATTGAGAAGGGGGTCCAGGACCGGGGCTGCTAGGTTTCCTCTGTGGTCCCCATCTCCACCCTGTGTGCCATCATCTCTCCAACATAGTCCCTCACTGCTCTTTGCTGTTCTTATAAGCATCTACTGTGCTGGGCTTTGTGTGCACGCTATATGCGCCGTAGTCTTCTGTGTCCCGGATGGTTTTGGTCTCGGGGAGAACATCAGTGATGCTTTGGATCAGCGCTTCCTCAGAGGGTCCAGTGACAATGATCTTAGGAATTGTCCTCTTCTTCTTGGCAATTTTATCAACCGAAACTGCAAGAAAAAAAAATATGAAAGTTATAAGGAGAGACGCCCCTTTAGGTTCCTGCTCTCTCATGGGTCCGTAGATACTGCCTAAGAGGAAGGGAGATGCCTGGATGAGACCGCCTGTGAGTACCACCTCCTCCCCAAACACAAGGACTGCTTCGTTTTCAGAAGGAGAGGTGCCAAAGCCGGTAGACGTGCTAAATGAAGGAACTACTGGTACAACTTTTCTTGAATGACCTCTCTCAACGTTCAAGGTTGACTCAGCCTTCTATCCTTCTGAGATCGGTAAAATGAGTACACAGCTTGCGCGGGGGGGGGGGCAATGTGTAGCCTGCATAATTAACTTGTGAACCGCCCAGAGAGTGCTTGAAGCACTATGGGGCGGTATATAAGCAGCACGCTTTGCTTTGCTTTGCTCTTACCTTCTCCTTGAACAACATGGGGCACAGTTTTTTTTATTGCTTTGGATGTTGAGGGTTGGGTGCTCGAGTGCATGTGTGGGCTCTGATCTTGAAAGGCCGGCTTGGGGTCCTTGGTCTTGCTGCCCTCTGCATTTCTATGAACATGCGATGCTGCGGGAAAAACAACACAGGAAGAATTGGGAAAAGACCCAACGAAACAAGGATACAGTACGTTCCCCTTGTTTTTGTGTTCACTTCTGGACAAAGACTAGAGGCTCACGAGAATGTACAAAGCACCCTGGTGGAATTTAGAAATGTCTTTTGAGGTGACAATAACTTCCAAAATCCCCTATGTCGGCTGGAGGATTCTGGTCCTTGTAGTCCAAAAGAGGACATTTCCATGTGTTGTAACTTTACACTATGAGGTGGCTTCCAGCCAGCTAAGTTAAGTCCAAAGGAGCTTGGATCAACACGCAAAATTCTTCCTCCACATTAAGGCCATTCAGTGAGATTTGTGTCAGGGATTTTCCAAGAAGCTCATAAGTAGGGAAATCAGTAAGTTGAGTAACACTGAGCCAGAATTTGGTCCCTGTAGTGCAGGGGGTAATGGTGCCTATTGACTGACGCAGAGAAAATGATGGCAGACTCTGCACCTTTTTTTCCTGGTCTACCCCCATTTCACCACCACCACCTAAATAAATGAGATCAGAAAGGGACAGTGAAGGCTACCAGCTATGTTGTCAGTGGGACAGTGCCTCCAGGTTTGAGCCTGAATTTTACAGGAGCTTGTACCCAAGCTGTTGGTCACCAGCCCCTGAAATGCATTCAGTACCTTGAATAGCTGCTTTAACATTTGGATTAAAAGCTAGGGTAGATTCACCAGAGACATTAAAAGCCACCCATCACCAGAAGCTGATAAAGAAGCACAGCAGCTGCTGGCTGGGAACTGTCTTCAAACATTTCAAAGCACGGGAGAAAACCCGAGACCACAATTTATTATATTACTCTGGGTATTGGAATAACTTGTGAGACGGGAAAGTTGTTTTGTTCCAAACAGTGTGAGAACACTTGATCCGCCCCCCCCAGCTGAGCAAAAGCAAAGAAGAGCAGGTGCTATATGTCTGTGAATGGATTTTTAACTAAGCACTAAAAAGAATGGCATTTGGCTGCTCCTGTGGTCCTCAGCATGTTTACCAAGAACTAAGTTCCAGAGATTTTGGCCTCCATCCGGCCATGGGACTTGCTTTTAGGACTGCAGCCTGAGCATGCATTTCAGAAGAGGTGCATATATAAATGTAGGAGAAATGAAGTGGCAGAATGGACTGTGCCTGCTTATGTGGAGGAATTATATTTGTGGATGCTCTTTGTTAGTGGATGAAGATGCCTCCCTTTAGCAGAAAGCTAGCAGCGCAGGAAATAGGCTCAGATAGAACCTTCACTGTTGTGCTTGGTTTCCACATGGAGGAAGACACACAAATGGCACCACTTCCCTGAATAGAGTGGTCTACCACCTCCAGGTGGTGCCATCCCATCCCGTCCCTGTTTTGCGCCTAAGTGGCATTTCCTCAAAATGAAGGGTGTGTTTAAAAGCCCTAGTCATGCCTTTCAAGATCCTAACCATGAAGGTTCCCTCCTGGCCTGCCCTCACCTCCTCCCCCACACATCGGCCTGGCACTAACCTGTACCCTTCTTGGCCATCATTCTGTAAACAAGAACTTTTTACCTCCTGCCACGTCTTCATGCTTGCTGTGAGACCGCCCCATAGATGAGCCCACAGGCCTTGCCCCCTGCATTGGCACAGCTACATCCTTGATAGCTCACCCTGGTCCTTTTGTGACTCAGCACTAGCCAGCGCCATCATCATCAAAGAAGCAAGACCTGAGATGCTCCCACCAAGGGAGGACCTTCGGATCAAGAGAAGGACTCTTCTCTTCTTCCTCCTTCCTTCCCAAAGCCAATGGACCCCCAGGAGATCCCCAGCCATGGGGTAGGTAAGGGAACAGCACTGAAATTCAGCATCAAGGCTGAGAAAAGGACATTGTGTCCAGGTAAACGGGATTAGGCTTACTACTTGGGATGCATTTCCTTCATATCAGTTGTCTTTCATCTTTTTCATGACTTAGAGGTCCCCAAACAAGTATTTGAGGATCTCTTATCTCTCTTTTCTTTTTCTTTTTCTTTTATCTGTATATTATGGAAGTGCTGCTGTTGCAAACCCAGGCGAGTTTTGGTCCTTCAGACTAGTTTTGAGGAGAAATGGCTGGAATTTCCTACTGGCCTGTCTAGTCTGAGATCTGAAATGGGAACAGAAGGCTGCCTTATATAGGCTTTTGAAAGGACCCAGCACAGTGTTTCATGCGACAATTGCCATAGGAAACTGGTGTTAGGCTCCGTGGGCATGTGGTTGGCCATGGGGGCTGGGGGGAACCCGGCCAGGTTCTTCTTTTGTTCTTAGAACCAATACCTCAACATCAGCCTCATCTGCCCAGGCTGCAGATTAGGAAAAATAAAATTCAGCTGCAGCATTCGCTATGAAAGTGCAAAATGCGCCATCCATGGAAAGTGTGCCTCTGAGACCATCCCAGGTGGGAATGGGGGCCACTCATGACGCAGCTGCACTCTGTCATCTGGAAAGTAAGCAAGCCGGCAGACTAAACTCCCGCTGCTCTCCTGCTATTTCTTGTCTCAGCTCTTTGTTTTCTTGGCCGTTGCATCATGTCTGTGGTATCAGAGGATGGACAGAAGGAGGAGCAAATGGTGACAAATGTTGCAATGTGTTTTTTTTAATGGTTTGACTCTAATCAAGCCACAGGAGGCAAGAGTAGAAATCTGCAATCTTGTCTTCGTGATGTTTTGCTTTTAATTTTGCTCATTTCATACTGTAAGCCGACTTGGATCCTTCAGGAGAAAGGCAGCATATAAATATTTTAACTACTGTATATAAATAACAGTTACTTATTTTTTGTTAATGCTGCTATAAACTATATGTTTGTCAAAGTACTGTTTTTCTTATGTGCGTTTCAAGTTTGGAACACTCCTATCTCCCACCACAATTACTTTTTCCACCATTTTCAAGTCTGTTTATTTATTGCCATAGCAACGCCCACCCGTCGCCATTTTCTTCCCAGGGCGGACACGTGACGCCCCACAGCGCCTCTCCGTGCGGCGTTTCCCCCCTCCACGCATGCGCGAGGGAGGCTCGTCGGCCGGCGAGACCGACGGCAGTGATGGGCGGTGGCCTCGGATAAAATATCGCGAGAGGAAACCCGGAAGAAGCTGAGGCGATGAACCCGGAAGTCAATTGGGTCAGAGCCCGGAAGTGCTGGAAACAGGGGATCGACAGAGTAGAGTCAAGCCAGGATGGACGGTGAGTTTGTCCCTCGGAGGTGGGTGGCTGGGGAGGGGAGGGCTTCGGTGACGTCACGTCCAGTCTGGGAAGGGGTTGGGGGTCTCCCTGGGTGGGCAGTGGGAGCCTTTCCCTTAAGGGAAAGGGGGGGTCCAGAGGAGCAATAGATAGGGTGTGTGTGTGTGTGTGTGTGTGGGTCTCATCCGGGCATGACCTGGACACACACAAACCCCGGTCCCCAAGAGGAGCTGTGGGTCTCGGTGCACTGAGCTTGGAAAAGTTACTTTTGTTTTACTTGCCCCAGCCAGCATGGCCAGTTCTGGCTCCTAAAAAGCAAGTTTTCAGAGCCCTGTGTGTGTTTGTGTGTGTGTGTGTGTGTGTGTGTGTGTGTGAGAGAGAGAGAGAGAGAGAGAGACTGGGGGGCACGGGGATCAGAGTAATTTGGGGGTGGCTTCTGTGATGTTGCTTAGCCAAAGCTTGGGGAGAGGCCCCGCTCTGTCCTTCCTCTCTCATCCTCCCCTCGAGAGTCATTCCTGTCCCCAAGGGCTCCTGCTTTTATTCAAACTCACCTCACAGGCTCCGACAATCTGGGCAGCGGGGAGCTGTGAGGTTTCCCTCCCAGGCACCCTCCCAAACAAGGAAGATGGCAGCCCTGACTTAGCTTAGGGGGGACAGAGCAGCGATAGAGGGAGTTCTGCTGGAGGGAAGGTTGTTTCTTTCCCACTGCTAAGGAGGAGGCTGAGTGCCTGACAAGGGCACAACCAGAGCTGTGCAGACTGGGGGTTTTGGGAGTTGTAGTCCAGGCACTGACATTTCCAGGCTCTAGGTACTCCTCCACATGACCTGCCATAGTGTCTTTAGTTACTCCTACTCTGTGCTTGCAGCCAACTGCATTTATTTATAGGCTTATAGATATTTGCAAACTTCTGAGGCGTTGTTCAGAGGCAATAGGCAGCGTGGACTGAGTGACTTTTGATTTGTAGTTGCTGCACTTATGACAAGGGTTTGGTTGTTGCTCTTCTGACCCATTCCAGTCCCATGAATGCCATGAGATGACCCAAAGAATGCCATTGTGTTGGGAGGACTGTTCTCTTGTCTCTTGCGGTCAAGGCTGTATTGGCCAGGAGGCGTAGATGTTCTTCTGACCCATTCCAGTCCCATGGATGCCATGAGATGACCCAAAAATGGCATTGTGTTGGGAGGACTGTTCTCTTGCCTCTTGGGGTCAAGGCTGTATTGGCCAGGAGGCGTAGTTTTAGGACGTCTGCCTGTCCTCTCCAGGGAATCATGTTTATGGGCCAGATAAACATGAGGCTGCCCATTCTTCAAAAGTGAACTTTAAACAGCTTTTAATGACTTTTCGTCAGTTGTCCCGTGTCACTTCCTGTTTCCTGCTTGCCAAGCAGGTGACACACTTACCTGGGCGGAACCATCACTGGGAGGTCAAGCAGTGCTCTCAAGCCAGCGATTCTACTTCCTGGGAGCTGAGAGGCAGAACACAACAACGGCTGTTGACAAAACCAGAGTGTTAACTTACTTGAGGGAGAAACTGTTGTGGCACTTTGCAGACCAACTAACTGGCATTCAGTTGCAAGGCTTGACATTTTATTTCCATTTTCTGTCTCAAAGTTTTGGGCTCTTGATTAATGTGAAGCTGTTTTACTAACTGGCATTCACTTGCATTGACATTTTATTTCCATTTTCTGTCTCAAAGTTTTGGGCTCTTGATTAATGTGAAGCTGTTTTAAAAGCCCTGACAGAAAAGAGTTAGGTTTTCAAGATGACATCGTTACTGTCAAGAATTTGAGAACCAGAAAGATATTGTGATTTTTTTTGTAAGATATATAAACGTTTAATGAACCAGTTCCCTATACATGGCAAATTATATTTCATACTTGTTGCTTTCAACATAAAGCTTTGATACACTTGGCACAGTTTGTTGCATTGTATTCGGACAGTCTTGTGTAAATGGTTTCTGAGAAGGTCAGAGATATGCTTTTGATGTGTGTGCCTTAAAAGTGATACGAATGAATCTTCTTCCTCCTGAGATATTTTCTGTCCTTGAAACCTTCCAACTCTCTCCATCTTTCTCTTCACAGATACACTTTTCCAGTTAAAGGTGAGTGTTGCCCACACTACAACATGATCCGCCTTGTCAGATCTGAATGTTTTGGTTTCTTATAGTAACATAAGGTACACTTTTCCTCTTAATGAGCTCAAGTTGGGGGTTGTCAGTTCGTGCCTGTTTTGTGGCTTAGCCAGATCCTAGTCTGTGGCTTTATTTGGGAGCGTGACAAGGGCTGGAGGTTTTCCGGGGTCGGATCTGCCTTCCCTAACGCGACCCATCACATGTCCAGTGTTGATTGATCTCCTGAAGTACTGCCAGCCTGTTGTTCCTGCCAGCACACAATATCTCAGAATACAATATATGATCTTGAAGCATACACACGAGCTGAGAATTGACCTACAAAGTTGCTTGAGAATGACAGCCTAAAATAGGGAGGTGAGAGGTGCTTCTGCCTCTGATTTTCATCATAGAGGGACTATGCCAGATCAGACCAAAGGCCTGCATAGTTTAGCGTCCTGTTTGCCCTTGTGGGCTCCTGCTCCTGAGTAGTCACCATTCAGAACTGTTACGTCTCTGGTGTCAGAAATAATAAACAGCATTTTGACTGTACTCATTGACAGATTTCTTCCTCATGGATTTGTCTTTTAAAGGCATCTTAACACTGATGGCCATCACCTCATCTTGTGATAGTGAGTTCCAGAGTTTAGCTATGCCTTTTGTAAAGCTGTCCTTCCTTCTGTTTGTGTGCGGTCCACACCTGTTGGATGATCCCACCGGCTTCTAGTATTAGCAAACGTAGGGAAACCCCTTCGCCTCGTGTGCTTCTGCCTCACCATGCATAATTTTATAGACTTCTTTGATACCTCCCCTTGCTGTCCATTTTTCCTAAGCTAAACCGCCCTAGATATTATTACCTTTTTCTCCCAAGAGATGGGCTCCGCTCTTTATAATTTTGGTTTGCCGTTCTGGAACCTCTTTGGCTTTTCAGCAGGGGTGAGCAAAGTGCAGTCTGCAAACCTGAGGTGGCCAGTGCTGACTGTGCCCAAAAAATGTCTGAGTAGCTCCTGCAGACTCCCAGGAATGTCTGTTCTTTTAATAATTATTTATTCTTTTACATGGATTGAATGTGGATCTTTGGATCAAAACAAAGGGTATCTGGGCACTTCCAGACTTTATTTCATTTTATTTTGGGAAGGAAATGTTTCTGGGCCATGGACTGCTGCTGGGGAAAGCTTACGAGAGTTGCTCCTCCTTGCTCTACTTCTTGAAGAGCAACACAGCCCAAAATGTACGGAGTTCTGCCCTGTGGTTGTCTCCTCCTCCTTTGGGTTTTGAGACCCTGCTGGCAATAGAATTTTTGTTGCGAAGTGAACCTTAAATGGAGAGGAGCGCTGTACCTGGCGCTGTTCTTTCTGGGTCTTTTTAGTGGCCTGATTGGGATACCGGCTCCTCTGTGGTAATTAGATTATATGCCATCAAACAGAGCACCTTACTTTCCCTTCTGTTAAGGCGGAACAATTGGGGGTTGCAGGCAGTGCACGTGTTGAGCAGTCAGCCTGCTTTCTGCCTGCCTTCCTGCTGAGCCTCTCTTTCTCTTTTCAGTTTACAGCCAAGCAGTTGGAGAAGCTTGCCAAGAAAGCTGAAAAGGACTCTAAAACAGAGCAAGCCAAAGTGAAGAAGGTGATGGGACTTAGCATGGCCCGTCGGATGTCTTAAGAAGGCTGAGTGCCCCTCTCGTCTGGAAGGCCTGCAGCCACATCCTTTGTCTCTTTCGGCCCTTTGCTTTTCCCTTCCCTCTGCTCCGTGCAAGTGTATCTGTTTTGGGGTGTTTGGCCTTTGGGCCCTGCTTCTCTACTCCTGTTTTACCACCGTTCTACTGTGCTCTGCGCTTGGAACAACCTCGCCTTTTCCCGTAGCCAGTCCCTGCCCTGATTCCTCCTCTAAGGGAGACATGAAAAGCACGCCTCACCTGTGGGGACACCACACCCGTGTTTGCAGCCTGTGGGCCTCCTTGAATGGTCCCCTGTTTAAAAAAGGGCGAAGCTTCCCGCTTCTGGAAGCCTTTGGTCCTGACCAGTCTGCCATCCCTTGTCCTCTTACCCCCACTTTCAAAAAGGGAGCTTACAAAACTGCAAATGGGCCTCGGGAACTGGTACCGCCTAGAGGAGGTCAGGCGTTGGCCCTTGACACTTGCTCAGTCCTGCTCATTTCTGACACAGCCTAGCTCCACCTTGCACGCTTGTCTGTCCCTGTGTTCTTTTTTCCAGGAGTTCCTTTTCTCTGCCTTCTCTTGTCTTCTGTCTCCATAACCAATGGCGTTGAAAGCTCTCGATATTCTGGATGCTGTCTGTTGTTATAATAATCCTAGAAGACTCATGGGAAAGACATGCTCCCCCTTAGTAGGAGCATGTTTGTAAATGCCTGGAAAAGGCTCCAGGCAGGGTGCGGAGGCAGGCCACAGATGTGCGCTGTGTTGGTGGAGAAGTTGTAGGAGGCGTCCGATGGGCAGCTGGGGTGCGGTCGGGGTCGAGGTGCCTGCGGGATCCCCCTGACCTTCCCTTTCTCTCCCTCCTGGTCTTCCAGGCTCTCCAGCAAAAGAATGTGGAGTGCGCCCGCGTCTACGCAGAGAATGCCATCCGGAAGAAGAACGAAGGCTTGAACTGGCTCCGCATGGCTTCCCGGGTCGATGCGGTGGCCTCCAAAGTCCAAACTGCCGTGACCATGAAGGGGGTAAGGAAGGCTTCTCAAGGTGTACCCAAAGCATAAGAGCCTTTGTTTAGTCATTTTTCTTCTAGGAAAAGTACAACATGACAGTGCCTACTTAATTGAACTTTCCCCCCTCTGAGTCCTGGGGCAAGCTCATTCGTGCTGGCTTGTCTTGGCCGGTGTTGCACCACGGCCTTCTTTCCTCCCTCCTGTCCCTGTTTCCCCCACTCCACACGTGGCCTTCTGTCCTCAGCTGGGGATTCAGTCTCTGACCAGAGGTGACCCTTGGGGGTCCCTTGGCGGCTCATGTAGCAACGGAACTTTCCTTTACTCTGCCAGCCTTTTGTGCTGCATTCCCCCCTTCCTCTGCGGGTCCCCGTGGATTCCAGCCCTGCAGTCCTGACCCCGCCTGGACCCTTGGGCTGCCAGTCTCCTTGTGCAGCCAGGAGGGCCGTGTTCAGCACCACGCCGAGCGCTCCCTAGAGAAGAGCTTCCTTTGTTTTGCTCCACCCCTCGTAGACGCCTCCTTCTTGGAGCTTGGAAAAGTTGCTTTTTTTAAAATTACAACTCTGGAGGTGGTGGTTCAAAAAGGCCACTCCGTCCAAGCTCTGCTCTTTCTCTGACCCCCCCCCCAAGGCTTTTCTCTGCCCTCCCCAGGGGCCTGAGGCCAATCTCGGAAGAGGTCTTGAACCCGAGCCATGTGGCCCAGGTTCCAGGTCTCTTCAAATATGAGCCTCGGGTCCAATGGGGAAGGCCCACTTTGCTCCTGCTTCCAAAGTACAGGGAGAATGAGGAAAAACCTTTTTGTTTGTTTTGTGTTTTGACTTCTCTGCTGCAGGTCACGAAGAACATGGCCCAGGTGACAAAGGCCCTGGACAAAGCCTTGAACTCGATGGACCTCCAGAAGGTCTCTGCCGTGATGGACAAGTTTGAGCAGCAGGTCCAGAATTTAGACGTGCACACTTCGGTAAGCGTGGGAAGGAGGGACCCGGGAGGCAGCTCTCGTCCGATTCTGCGGGGCAGGACCCTGGCTTTCTCGAGGACAAACTTTTTTGTTTGTTGTGTGTTTTGACTTCTCTGCTGTGTTGGGTCCCGTTTTTTCACCTGGTATCCTCAACTTCAGGTGAATCATGCAAAGCCAAAATATTTTGAATCATTGACTTTTCCCCAGATTCACAGAGCTTTCACAGAACTTAGATTTGGACATCCTACCAGCCCCCTGGCCCCCTTCAGCTCTGGTCTGGCTTCTCGTGCCCTGGCTTGGAAATAGGTCAAAATTCAAGTGTCGGATTCTGTATTCTTGGACCGGGGGAATCAAGAGGCATGGTGATAGAACTGTTTCTTGGCCAAGAGGAGTCCACAGGGATTGGCTTGCACTGCTAGCCCGCCAGTGCTCCACTTCTGCAGTCCCAGATGTTTTGAGTTTCCAAAAGCCCCAGCTGGCCTAGCCAGTGGTCCGTGACTATGGGAGTCAGCACCCAAAAATATGTGGCAGATCAAAGGTGAGAAGTGCTGAATTTGCCACAGTGGTTTGGTTTTTTTCCAGCCCCTCCCTTGCCTTTGGGATCCTGTGGGCCATTGAGGCAAGCTGGGAACAGAAACCTTTGGTTTTTTCAGTTTCTTTCTGGCCTCCATGCCACGAAGGGGGCAGAAGCAGAGCCTTTGGGCCAATCCGGCAGCAAGTGGGGGAGAGGAGGGGGCTTCACAGCGGTCTTCCTTGCGATGAAGCAGGATTGGCTGCCTCTTCTCGTATCGTGTTGGCTGAGGGTCTGCCTTTTTTGGTCCCTGCAGGTCATGGAGGATTCCATGAGCTCAGCCATGACGTTGACCACCCCTCAAGAGCAAGTAGACAGCCTGATTGTACAGATTGCCGAAGAGAACGGCCTGGAGATCATGGACCAGTTGAACCAGCTGCCTGAGGGGGCCTCGGCCGTGGGCGAGAGCTCTACGCGTTCCCAGGAGGATCAGCTATCCCGAAGGTGGGTTGGTTCTCCAAATGCCTGCAGCAGCGTGCTTTTTTTATATTTCGTTTTTCTCCCCATAAAGCCACTCCAGGTGGTGGCTTAAAAGAAGCAAATTATCACATTAAAGTAATCACAATCTCTTTGTCTGCATTGCAAGCACAGTTAACTGATTGATTACTTTGCCTGCACCTTCCTTTGCCTTTGTTTTTAAAACCTCTCTTGCCCTTTCTTTTCCAGGTTGGCTGCCCTTCGGAATTAGCCCCTCCTCTCCGTTGATGGACTGTTGCTTCTGCCTTGTTCACCTATGATTTGTGGGGTTCCTGTTAGAGGCCCCTGGCTCCCTACCCCCCACCCCACCCCGAAGTCTCCTGTTCTGCGGCCAGCGGCAAGACGGGTTCTTTGGCTCT